CCCTGTCATCCCCCTCTCCTCTCCTTGCTTCACTCTGCTTATTTCCCACCTCCCCGCTTATCCTGCCTCCTCTCTCTATCTTCCGCCCCCCCTCGCACCGAATCTAAACTTCAAGCACCAGCCACTCCCATGTCTCGCTTCCAATGGGTCCATACACATGTTCCAAAAACCACGGAGGGGATGGCTTGAAGCAGACATCTCCAGAAAAGATATCTGGAGAGGCGGGCGGTACATCACAGCCAAGCCTGACATCGGATGGCATGCGATCGCAAGGTGTTCAAGGCCACGCAACTTGCGACATGCAGTGGGCGTCGCGCGACGCAGCGGGGCGTCTGGGCTACTCCAGCGCCCACGCCAAAGCGCGGCGTCACGGTGCAATGGGGGGCTGTATCAATCGAAAGGGAAGGCACCGGAGCACGGCAGGCCGGCCAACGATCTGAATTGCAAAACGACTACAAGTCGGACGCGTAAGTCCCGCCCGGATACAGTCGGGCCGCTGAAAGAAGGAACGCTAAATAAGGAACGAAGCCCCTTCTTGGCCCTGTAAGCGCATCCGTGCCCCAGGAGGGCAAGAGGAACAGCACTGGAGGGACCTAAGGAACATCGAGCCCCTTCCGAACCCAAACTGTTCCTTCTTTCAGCGTCTTGATTGTATATGCACGCGTGCACGCGTGCTCGCAAATACGTCTAAGAAGTGAAGCTTTGCCTCGATCGAAATCCCAGGGCCCAAGATGAAGCTTGCCAGCTGCATTGACCAGTGTTAAGTCGGGCGTGTCCCCCTACACAGGGGGGTTTTCGACGAAAAATAAAAATACTCCAAAAACACTCCAAAATGGTCAAACAATATCTACTGTTTTAAACTATGTTTGAATATCCACCCTGTAGAGGGACAGGCCCGACCTAAGACCAGTGCCCTGCGAAGCGGCGAGCTCACCGGGAGCGGCTGCCCACTGCAGCGTCACGCTCGGGCGAGGATGCGGCAGGGCGCTCGGGCTCCGCGCCTGCGTCTCGCAGCGTGCGGATGCCCCTCTGCAGGGCGTCTAGGAGCTCCTGCGCCGCGCGTCGGTGGGAGGCCGAGCCGCCAACGAAGCGCGAGGATGGGGGGCAAAGGGGAGGGGAGAGACGAGAGGCGGTGGGTGAGGCGGGGGTGGATGGACAGGCAGCCTTCCTCTGGCCTCTAGTTCCTTCTCCCTCCTGTCTCGGACGGGCGGACGGGCATAAAGGGGCACAATGCAGAGAAGGGAAGGGTCAGGGGAGGGCGGAGAACACGGGAAGGAGGAGCCGAGGGCCTCGAAGCTGGATGTCTGATCAGTGGTGGGACAGTCGAGCCCTCCTGGCCGTTCTTTCTCGTCATCTTTCTCTTACTCTTCCTCCATCGTTGAATCTTCTGGGCGCAATTTGAGCAAAGCAAGCGCTTCAAGTCAGCTTGACTGGGGTGGCTTGGAGGAAGGAGCCTCAACTGACGCCAGCCTGCCACGGTGCGGGATGGCCAGCGCTGCAAGCAAAAATAATAGTCCTGTTATCTCAGCTCGCAGTGGAAGGACGGCACGATCAGCGGCAGCGCAAGCTTCAGCAGGACGTCAGCGCGGTGCCAGTTGGAGTTAAGGGTAGTGACTATGATGGCACCGATCGGCACGAACAGCACTGCGTCCGCGGCACGAATACAGCCAGAGTTTCGACGTAAGAAACATCCAGTCAGGGACTAAGCCCCCCAGGCGGCCTCAGTTGCTCCAAGGTGCAAGGGGAGCGGAGCTGATCCCAAAGCATTGACCGGGATGGCTGTAAAGAACGTGCAGCGCCTGCTGAAAACACTATCGCTCCGCAGACCTCGCCACATAATTGCATGCTGCATGCGAGATCCGTGCACCGCCACACACTGGCCAGCTAACCTGCCAAGGAGGCACTGGACGGTAAGCGAGAATCCAGGTAATTAGCTGACATGAACAGGAAGAGGGAGAGAACACCCACTAGGGAAAAAATGTTCACCAAGGGGGGTCTGTTGGAAACTGGCGATCCCGCCGCAAGAAAGCAGAAGCTTCCGCAGCGCAGCTCCTGGAGGAGGGCTCGCACCTCTAACGCGAAGACCCAGGCGTGCGCACTTTCACAGAATGCGCACGCATTTGTGCGCACTCTGGATGGGAAGAGCGCACATCGACGGATCGCAGCGAACAGATCACCGCTCGAATGCATGGTTGACTATCAAGCACACTCTCGAGCACACGGGCGCAACCGCGGACAAGGCTACTCCGGCGGACGCCCACGTGCCGCATGCACACACGCTCGGCGGGCACACCTTCCTACGCACGCATGCGCAGCATTTACTTTCTTCACATACACACAAGCACAACACACACACCACACAGGCAGACCCACCCACACACACACACAAACGTTTGTTCAGCTTTCCCTCCTCCGCAGCGACGGATCTTCGGCCTGTCCTCAAGTAACGGAACGCACCCATGAAACTGCAATCGAACGTATGACGGACGCGCTCGAGCCTAAGCTGTGTGATCCAGGACCAGAGGCTAGCCACGACGCCCGTGCAGGAGAAGACAGAAAGATAGAGAGAGAGAGAGAAAGGAAGAAAGGGGCACGCAGACTTGCGCAAGTCGCCTATCACACGCGAACGCACGCACGCACACACGGGCGCACGCTGCTGTTCAGCCCCCCGGGGGCCAGCGCAACCGAGTAAAGGCTCGTCGAAGACGCAGACTCTACGCGCGCAGCGCCCAGCGACCAATCGCAAGAACGCCGAGAACGACGAAGGGAACCGCAGTCCCAGACATCCAGCGTTGCGGTTCTTTCGTGACGCGGACCTCAGGTCTCTCGACCCCTTCCTTGGGACTGGTTCGGCGGCGAGCGAGGGGGGAAGTGAGAAGGAGAAGGCCCTCTAAGAAGGCGGTGGGACTTCTCAAAGTCCTCTGGCCTTCCGAGAAGCTTCAGAAAACTTCTCCAAATGCCGGCAGACTTCCGAGCCTTCCGAGCAGCATGGGGGAAACGGGTCCTCAGAGAAACGGGTCCTGAACCCTGGAGCCCTCCCCCAGGACGAGATCTTCATCCTGAGTCCCTTCCTTACAGCCCCGGGACCCGAGGAGGGCCCCGAGAGCCCGAAAACGACGACACACGTACAAACATCAGGACCCGTGCCCCTCAAGACTCGAGGATCGGAGATGGAGAAGGGGAAGCTAGATGGGCTGGCGGAATGGGCGAAGCGATTAACAAGAGAAGTGTATGCACGATTCCCACTAGCCGATTTGTTTCACTAGATGTGGAGGGAAAGAGAAGGACGAGAAGAGGAGGAGGAGGAGGAGCATAGCTGCTGGGTGTGAAGTGGGCAATAGCGGGATCGCGCTCGAGCGCCCCCGTGGCGATCTGAGAAGGCCCGCCCCCTCTCACTTCTGTCCCCAGGCCCGGCGCCGACGGGCCTTCGTGCCGGCTCGTTTTGTTGACGGCCCCGGGGAGCCACGCGGCCCCCCCCCCAGGAGGCCGAGGGCGAGGGGGAGGGCCGGCCGTCGCGACGTGCCCGTCGCATCGCAGAACTGGGGGGGGGGGGCGCGCGGAGGCCCGCAGAGCCAGAGGGGAAGGGGGCGTCGAGGGGCCCCAGGGGCAAGTAAGCAAGTGGGCGCGGGGAGGGGCCCAGTCGAGGGGCCCAGGGGTGTCGAGGGGCCCAGGGGCCGAGGATTCCCCATGTCTTTCCACACGGTCAGCCCGCATGAGAAGGACGAGCGATAGGGATGCGCTGCGCAGGCGGGGCACGGCCAGCGAACGCTCCCAAGGATGGGCCGAGGGGGAAGAATGAATTCCAGGGTATCCTTGGAAAGCTGCCAACCTTTCCTGTGCGGTTTGACCGTGCAGACAACCCGCGGAGTAAGGATGCACGATAAGAATGCAAGGGCCTTGGAAAGCCATGTTTACGTTTTTCAAACGAGGTTGGCCAACGAGAGTCGCCAAGGATGGGCCGAAGGGGCAAGGATGCAAGGGCATCCTTGGAAAATTGCTCATCTTTGCTGTGCGGTTTGACCGTATCTTCTGGATGTTCGTCTTCCCCTCCACCTTCCCTATGTTCATTATACTTTTGGACTCGACGATGATGTCTGTCTGTGTGTCTTTCAAAGGCAGGAGGGAGGCAGGGCGGGAGATGGGCACAAAGTTTGTGCCCTCCTGAGGGAGGCAGGGCGGGCGATGGGGGGGGGCGGCTGAGGTGGGCTGGGCGGCAGACAGCGAGAAGGACTGACAACCCGAGGGGGGGAGGCGAAGCAGAGGAAGAGGGGCAGGCGCTGCGGCCGACAACAGGGGCAGTACGCCAGCCGCTAGCCCTTGGCTGCCGGCAGAGGCGTGCGCGAGCCCCTGGACCTCTCTAATGACACTGCTGGGTTGAAGCCAGGGGGGGGCTTCAAGCAGTGATGCCCGAGCAAGTAGCGATTGAAGCAAGCATGCGCCAGGAATCCAAAGGGTAGAGCCCACGACCGCGGACGACGCGATGCTTGTTTGGTGGCAGACCAGAGCTCTGTACTGGTCGGCCCTGCTCTTATTCCGACGGCGACGGACGCTCTGCGCCGCCACATGGGGTCCGGGTAGATGGGGTCGGAGGACCGCGCCGAATCGCGGGTGCATCGCCAATGCATCGCCGATGCATCGCCGATGCATCAGCGATGCACCAGCGATGCATCAGCGGTGCATCAGCGATGCATCAGCGATGCATCGGAGACGTCGGCGCTGCATCGGCGACGCCAGCGCGGAGCAAATCAGGGTCCGCATCGAGCCGCATCGGCGATGCCGCGGCGATGCGGCGCGATCCTCCGACCCCATCTACTCGGACCCCATGTGGGAGGCCTAGATACTAGCGCAATGGGAGAGGAGTCGGAGGAGGAAGAGGAAGAAGAGGAAAATTGCAAAGACCACCTCCCAGTCAGGGCCATTTGACTCAAGGGGAGGACAGTCCGGCGGCAGGGCTGGCGACGCCGCCCCCTTGCCACCGCGGGCGAAGCCGAGGACGGGGCTCACGGAAATCTGAAACCTTCCGCGACTCCGAAGGGTGAGGTTTGCCAAGGGTGTGTTTTGCGATTGGCGCCCAGGGGGGACCCCCTTGGGGCGGGCGGGGACCTCGATAGAGTTCTCCGCAGCGCCCCGAGGAGGCCTGGGGCCCGACGAGAACAGTGTCACTCCCTGGGGCCCCAACGGCACCGATCGCAAACACACACACACACACGCAAACCCTGGCGTAACCACACCCTTTCTTGTCGCCGAAACCTGCTCCGGGCCCGCGGGCCCCGGGCGGAAGCGCCCGCCGCCACCCGAGGTCGCGCCCGCTGCGCGTGCCGGGGTCGGCCACGAGGCTGCGGCCCAGGGGCGTCTGCAGGAAGGCGGCCTTTTCGACGAGGCCCACCTCCTTGGCCACGGGGCGCTCGGCCAGCTGCCGCCGCAGAGGGTGCACTTCGCCCCGCCTCGTCGTGGGCGTCGTCGTCGTCGTTGGTCGTCCTCGTCGTTGTCGTCGTCGTTGTCGTCGTCGTTGTTGTCGTCGGTCTCGTCGTCGTCGTCGTCGTCGTAGCCGGCGGCGGCGGCGTCGTCGGCGTCAGCGTCTGCGTCGGCGTTGGCTTCGTCGTGGTCGTCGGCGTCGGGCGTCGGGCGTCGGCGTCGTCGTCGTCGTCGGCGTGGCCCCCCGCCTCAGGTCCATGCCTGCGACGGCGGCCCTCGCCATGTCCAGAAGCGGCACCAGCGGTTCGGGGGGCGCGCACCTCCGAGGCACAGTCGCCGATCTATAGCCGGATCCGCAGCCTGATCCTGCTCCCCCTCCTCATCCTCCTCCTCCTCCTCCTCCTTCTCCTCCTCCTCCTCCTCCTCCTCCTCCTCCTCCTCCTCATCCGTAGCCGGTCTGGCCGGCCCAGCTCATAGCAAACCGAAGGGGCACCCTGCGCACCGAGGGCCCGATCGACCGTCGACCAAGCGAAGGCAATCAAGCTGGGCGATGAAGGCACTCTGATGCAAGCAGTTTGTCAGCTTCGGGCTGACGCTCCGTTTCTTGTGGGACTCTTCTGAGCCAAACTGACCGCTGATCATGCATAGATGCAGTGCTCCAGCAAGTGCTAGAAGTTACAGTGGACAAACAACGTCGGGCGAACATTGGTCCGATCGATCCCTGACCAACCGTTTGTGGGGTGGATCCCTCAAGCTCTCCGCCGCCTATGAGAGTACATCGCTTGAGGCGGCGGAGAACCCGAGCGGCCAATCTGACAAAATGCTGAGCCTTGCGCTGGCTGAGGCGCGAGCTTGGAGCCCATGCGGACTGCCCTCGACACCTGCCGCAGGCCGTAGCCCGAGCCATCGCGGCACTGCACGTCGACGAACTCGCCGCCGCTCGTGGTGTCCCAGTGGTGGCTGTGCGCCGCGAGGGCGTCCGGCACCCCGCGGACCAGCGGTGTCTTGACCAAGACCACGGGCTTGCCCCTGCGCACCTCGGGGGGGGGGGAAGAGCAGCCCCGCTTGGAGGGCCCCCCGCTGGACCACGCGGGCCGCGAGGGGGAGAACGCCGCGGAACACTTGCGTCTGGCATGGCTTGGCACGTGCGCTGTGTGGCGAGGGCAGGGGTCGGATTCCTCCCCTGAGCGCCAGCTCCGCGGTGAAGTTGCCGTCCTCTGACCACTCCACGTCGGCGAAGGGCTCGAGCGCCCACGCCGCCCGCGTGTAGACGTAGCTAAAGCCGAAGCCGTACACGAACGCCTCCCTCATGTCCGTTGGCAGGAGTGGGTCTGTCCTGGGGCTGACGAAGCCGAACGTCTCGTCTGCCAGGTCGATCACGTGCCAGTCGGCCAGTGTGGCGGCGGCCGCCACGTCGGCCGGCCTGCACGCGGGAGCCAGCCGGGGCCTGACAGCCTGCATGAGCTTCTCGACCATGACCCCCAGGTAGCAGGGCGCGTAGAGATCGTCGTCGTCGAAGTGGGCGATCCGCCGACCCCCGCTCGCCAAGGGGCAAGAGGGCGTGGGAAAGGCTCGGCGGCTCCCCTCCCCCAGGAGTCCCAAATCCACGCGGGCGGGCGGATGGTCGGGGAGACGCACCCCTCTGCCCCGAGCGCGGGGCCGGCAGAGCGGCGCGAGCCTCCAGAATTATGCCCCCCCTGGCGAGGTGGCACGCGAGGTTCCGCTTGAGGCCCAGGGTCCAGCCCTCCCTGCGAACGCCGCCGCGGACCCCGCCGCGGAAGCGCTGCACCTGCAGCGGCGCCGCTGCGGGCGCGCGCGGCGCACCGAGCTGCCGCCGCCGCGCAGCGCCGCCCCCGCGCGGTGCGGCGGCGAGCGGCCAGCCTGCGGCCCAGGGGTCCGCTGGCGGGTCCCAGAGGCAGTCCTGCAAATCCTGCGTGCGTGCGTCCTGCACGGGGAAGTGGCGGTAGACCACGCGGGGGTCCTCTGCGGCGCGGCCCAGCAGGAAGGCGGAGGGCCGGGTGCCCGTGTCGATGACCACCAGCTCCTTGGGCTCGTAGCTCTGGGTGCGGAAGCACTCGTACAGGAGCGGGTGAAAGGCCTGCCTGCTCTCGCTTGTGGGGCAGACCACGCTCACCAAGGCCCCCGCCTCCGAGCTCTCCTCGTGGCGACCGTGCGCCTGCGGGTCGAACACGCCGAGCGTCAGCGCGAAGAGCGCGGCGTCCGCTGGCGGCCAGGCGCAGGCCGTGGCCGGCAACCACCCTCGGCGCGGTAGCCTCCTCTTCGTGTTCCTGCCGGTGTTCCTGAAGCGGCGCATGTGCGCCACAACCTCGGCGACCCACGCCCGCAGATCCGCGTGGCTCGACGCGGGGCAGCCGCACAGCTCGCAGGGCTCCTCCTCCCTGGCCGGCGGCCCCGCGGCGCCCTCCTCGTCGCTGCTGCCGGGGTCGCCCGCCCAGCGGAGGCAGGCCCTGCGCGGCAGCGCAAAGGAGCCGCACTGGCCGCACGCACGGCAGCGGCCCCTGGCGCCGCCGCCGGCGTCGGTGCAGAGGGCCGCCCCCGGCGGCGCCGCCGCACTCCCGCTCGCGGGGGCGCCCTCCTCGGCCGCCGGGGCGCCCGCGGCTGCCAGGGAGCCCGCGGGCCGGGCGGCCGGCAGGGCGCCCTCCTCGGCAGACTCCGGGGCGGCAGCCGCGCCCGCGCTCTGGCGCTCGCCGCTGCCGCCCTGGGGCAGGACTGCCCCTCAGATCTGAAATGGCCAAGATTTTCAGCATCGCAGAACATCACTGACCCGAGCCCCAGAAACCCACCCTTCTGCGCCACTGTTCGAGCCGAGTCGGGTCAATCTGTGAGGGCCCAGAGGCCCGAATCTGGGCGGAAACGCCAGTCCCAAACAAGTGAGCCGCCAGGATCTCAGGGGCCGCCAGAGCTTAGCATGGGGGAGCGGGGTCCTGAGTGAAACAGGTCCTGGACCCTGGGGCCTTTCCCCAGGACGAGCTCTTCGTCCTGAGCCGTATTCTCAGTCCCAGGGCCCGTGGTGGGCCCCCAGAGGCCGAAAACGGCGAAACGCCTCAGGACCAGTTGATCTCAGGGCCCGCTTCCTCCATAGGGGATCGCTTACAGCACAGACTTACCCATCATAGATTTGTTCGTCGGGTCCGCAAACAAATAAGCCAACCGTTCGTAGATATACGAACATTCGACAAACTTTGTGCAGACCCTACGAGACTGTAAACTTTGGGATCAATCAATTCTGTAGTCGATCCCCCCTCGACTCATGGCGAGGAGCGCCCGCCTCGCCGACGCCCGCGCCGGGCCCCCCGGGCTCGGGGGCGGCGGCCGCGCCCGAGCAGCTGCGCTCGCCGCGGGCGCCCTGGGGCAGGGCGACGGCCTCAGCGGGCGGGGCGCGGCATCGGGCGCTCGCCTCGCCGACGCCCGTGGCGGGCCATGCGGGCTCTGGGCGCCCCAGGGATCCCAGCCCCACTCGGATGAGCCACTCTCCAACCACCACTACTACCATAGGTAGGATGGGGAAGAAGGGAGGATGGGGAGGTCCTCCTCCTCCTCCTCCTCCTCCTTCTCCTCCTCCTCCTCCGCCTCCTCCTCATCCTCCCCCTCGTCCTCCCTCCTCCCCTCCTCCTCCTCCTCCTCCTCCTCCTCCTCCTCCTCCGCTCATCCTCCGCCTCCTCTTCCTCGTCCTCCTCCTGCTCCTTCTCCTCTACCTCCTCCTCCTCCTCCTCCTCCTCCTCCTCCTCCTCCTCCTCCTCCTCCTCCTCCTCCTCGTCCTCCCTCTCCTACCTACGGTAGCCGGTGGTGGAAAATCGCCCCATCACCCCCATTGTCGGTGCGCGCAGAGGGGGGTAGGGGGAGGGGGGCTGCCTTCTTGGAGGGAGGTTGCTTCCCAGAAGGCACCAGCCCTACATGTACAGGCAAGGCCTGCGCCATCTCGGAAACAGGGGTGCATTTAAGAAGCCTTCCCCCCTCCCCCTGCCCCCCTCGTCGCGTGGTTGGTTCGGTTCATGAATAGGGAGCCGAACTCTATACCCCGACGCTTTCTCCAGCCCTGCACTGAAATGCGCACGGGAAAGCGGGTCTTGGTGTATACGGGACCCTGGTGTACGCATGTTTTGGTGTTTCCCCCGGAGTACGGGGAAAATCTATACACCACACCACCCCGACGTCATCCCCGACACTCGAAAAATCATGGAATTGAAAAGCAGCCCGCCACTGGTAATGTATGTGTTTGAGTTTCCGGTGAAGAAGTCAAGACGGGGTGTTTCTCATCGTTTTCAGCCTCTGGGGGCCCTCGCCGGGCCCACGGCCAGTCAAAAAATTAGCCTGGCGAAGGACCCAACCATATGCAGTTGTGAGTACCGCAATTATAAATATTTGGTATTCCTGTGAGGGGCATGTCTTTTTCCACAGGTGCTGCGACAAATGCTCGGTTGTCGCCGGGCGCGGGTGGCCATCGCTAGGCAACTGCATGGGACGAGGCCGTCGCTCGACGGAGCCTCCCGGAGCCATCAAACGATGGAACTCCCAAGGGCCACCAAGCGATGGAACCCTAGTTGTCCGGCAGTGCTGCAGCCACTCCCCAGCGAGAGCTCAGAACTGGACGGCGGGGAGGGTGGAGGAGCCGGAATTGCTACATCCCATGCTCCCTCACTCACACCATCTCGCTTCTCCCCGCTTCGCGGCTCGATGCTCACATTGGTATTCCTGTGAGGGGCATGTCTTTTTCCACAGGTGCTGCGACAAATGCTCGGTTGTCGCCGGGCGCGGGTGGCCATCGCTAGGCAACTGCATGGGACGAGGCCGTCGCTCGACGGAGCCTCCCGGAGCCATCAAACGATGGAACTCCCAAGGGCCACCAAGCGATGGAACCCTAGTTGTCCGGCAGTGCTGCAGCCACTCCCCACGCCCTGCAGCCTTCCCACGGCTGCCTTCCTGGTGAAACCGCCGCAACCGCGGAACGGAGGCTCCCCCCGCAGCTACGGAAAGGGAGACGCTGCCGCGGTCGCGGAACAGCTGCACTATGATCCTGCGACGGTGCACTCGAACGCAGCGTCGCACGTGCAATAAAATATCCACCATCACACGCCCACGTTCTTGGCATTGTGTTCCCTGTGATGTGCGTCCAAATCTCCACTGCAGAGTATATGGAACAAATGTCAAAAGTCGACGTGTCAAACACCCAACAACTGTTACGTCCCACATTCTGTCCTGTCGTTCCAGCCTCGCGTGACCTCCGAAAAATAGCACCAGCTATCTCTGACCTGTCCCAGCGGCGTGGCGCATGATTCAGCCTCCAGGGCGGCGTCGACGGCCAGGCCGTTGTGCCAAGTCAGATAATTGGCCCATTTGGCGCGCTTGTGCCGGCGACGGGGCTAATGACGTCTGGACTGCAATGCCCTCGTCGATGTACAAGCGTGCAGTCGCCACTGATCGCCAACGACCGCGTACTGCCGTGCGGTCGAGACTGCCGAATTCCAGAAAATGGGCAGTCGCCCCACCGCGTCGTAACGAGTACGGTTGCCAATTGGCGTCCGGCAGGCGGGCGACTTGTACCAGCTTGGCGAAATCGCGCCTGAAGGCATGGCCACTGTGCGGGTAGATGCGCTCCCCGGGTAGAAGGCGAGGGAGCAGGCCACGCAGGTAGGCCAGCACGATGGGGTCTGTCAAGACCACGGACTCTTGCGATGTAGCCCGTCGCTGTCCTGATTTAGTGGACGGTAGACTGAGCAACGCTGGGCCCGGCCCGTCAGGCAAGACGAAGTGGGAAGCTTGCATGGTCAGCATCTCTCCAGTTCGTAATAAGCCGTGGAAAGCAATCAACAGTACCAAAGCCAATCGGAGATTGCCGTCTTGAACGGCGGCTCCCACGAGTGCCATGAGAAAGGATACGGGAAGGGGAGTGGCCCGTTTGGGCTGCTCGCTCTTGCCCCAGGCCTTCAATAGTCTTTGACTCCCATGAAGGCGCCCCGCGACCGCGGGGAGAAGCAACGACAACCCCGAGCGGGCATTGTCCGCAAGAGCTTTGGGGTCTCCCTCCTGCCACGCTGTTTCGATGAATTCGCAAAGACGTCTATCCATAGCAGATGGTGTGGATGGTAGCGGATACCCCTGGTGAGTGCAAAATGCAAAGAAAGATCTTGTGGCGGCTTTGTACTTTTCCAATGTCCTTGGTGTGACGATCCGGTCTCGCAAACGTCCTAATCTTGCCCTCTCTCGCCTGCGGTCTTGCCTGGTCCTCCTGGTCATTGCTCGCGTGACGGGGCATCCGCTGGATTGAGGTCCGTGCGGAAATACCCCCATAGCGGCCAAAAAGATGAGGCGAGAAGAAGGGCGTTAATGCGCGTGATCACGGGAGCGAGCCTTTTCGAAGCGCTGCGGCCTTTAGCGAGTGCCCCCAGCGCCACAAAGCTGTCTGCTCCGTGCAGACCACGACTGTGGACGTTAACTTTGGCTCGAAGTCGCCATTGCAGGGCCGCCAAAATGGCCCGAAGTTCAAGAACATTGATGTGTTCCCCAGGCATGCTCCAAGGAACGCCAAATACACGCCGCCACTTCCACCAAGACTCCTGCAACGTCTGCCTCGGGAGGAATCCCGGGTGGTCCATCGGGCCGTGTCTTCGTAGCTCACGTCCCGCGTGGGCCTGCCGCCGCACCAGTTCACGCACCATTTCCACGCCAGGGTTGTCCACCTGCGGGTGCGGACGCTCTTCGCCTATGACGAGGAAGTTCGCGGCAGGGTCCTTCGACGGTATGCCACTGGCCTCAAACAGCCTGGCCAAGAGAAACGCCGCCACACCTGTGTGGAGGGCGTTTCCGAGCAGCCCGAGCCGCGCATCCTCGCGCTCAGCGTGGCCCGCTGCAGTCCGAAGCGCCGGTTCCGTGTAGCCCGGCGGGTACCCCAGGAGCTTCTCTCTCTCCCGGGCATTTGGGTATCGCCACTGCGGCTCCCCTGGCTTGCTCCTTACCATGCCGTACTTCCACTGGTACTGCAAGGGGGGAAACCGGTAATTGTCGTCAGCCCATCGGGCCCTGGCACACTCGTCGCATGCATCGAGTCCTGCTGGGTCTTGCGGCGGATCCGCGTGCTGGACTGGCGCCACGAAGATCGGGAGGGGACTGGCAGTCGTCCGTTGCCATCCCGGGTCCATCCACGCCTTGTCCAGCAGGCGTGGTTTCACAGGGTGGAAGCGCAATATGTCTTTAGTGCTGCCCGGGGTCACGCTGAACCCATCTGCGGCCTTGATCTTCCAACTGATCCAATACAGCCTCGGCCTTTGCATCGGGATTCGCGCCGACGGGCAGATCTCCGCGGGCCTCGCCCCGAAGTGCTTCGAGATAGTCCGGCACACATCGTCGTCAATGCCTGCGTCGCACTCCGCGTATGTAGCGACGTGGATGCCCGGGTCCATGACCAAGCTGCGCAAATCCCTGGCCAATCTCAAGATCTCCCGATGGGTCGACTCGGGGCCGTCGAACCGCGCCAGGCGCGAGTTGGAGCCCCCTGGCTTGAGCGGGATGATCCCACCAAGCACCCACAATTTGACGTGTGGGGCTTTCTCGACGATCTTCCGCAACTGGCTCTTGCCGACTGCCTGCGCCTCCCCCTCCAGGATCGCCGCGGGCCAGGCTGCCTCCACCACTCTGCTGGTCATACTGTCCACCTCAATCGCGCAGTACACCTCGGGGTGGACGCCGCAGGCCGCCAGCGCAGCTCGCAGTCCTCCGATGCCAGCGCGGACCTCGATTAAGCCTACCTCCATCTGGTGCCTCGGTTGCGCGGCAAGTCTCACTGCCAAGGCTTCCAACCCCAGCGGGGTCAGCGACGAGGTGCGGCACACGCCCATCCCCGACTCCGAGGCATCGCTGGCCACGACCAGAGGGCTCACATGCGCCCGCAAGTCCATCAAGCACAGTGGTAAGAGGTAGACCGCTGTCCGGATCTCGTCCCGGACCTCTGGGGTCAGCTCCTTCCGCCGCTTTCCTGATGGTTGGGACGTCAGCCACGCCCAAAATTCGTGGAACACACAGCTGAGCTCGCGGCGGGTCTGGAATGCTCTCGCCCAACGACCCCCGAAGATCTGGGCCTCGAGCTGGGTGCGCGGCCCAGGGGCCGTGAACCAGGCGCTCAACGACATCAGCTCCGCCACCGTGGATCGGGGAAGGACCAATCGGCCCAATTCCCCGGAAAGCCGGCAGCCAAGCACGTCTAACTCGAGGGCCCGATGTTCCTCTTTCCCAGTCTGCCGGGGGATGCCCCAAGCGTCCCACATCTCGTGAACGGCGGCCGTCTCGTCGGGCAGGTCCTTCAGCGTCGCCAGCTTTGTCAAGTCCTGCAGCTCGCCCTGGCTGAAGCCGTCGAGGTAGACCGTGAAGAAGGAGCGCCTATCTGGATCCATGGACCCAGGCAGAGGCGCGTCTCGCCGCACCTCTCTGCTTGGATCCAATCCTGCACCCATCGGAGGGGGCAGAAAACATAGATTTCGATGAATATGCTGAAGTATCCCGCACGCTGACTGCCATCCCATCGCCATCACCGCCATGGCTGGATAGACCGCCTCCTCGCTGGCCAAGTGCGGGCAGAATTCAGCGGCGATTCGACCAGGCACCGCGCGCCCAATCGCCTGATACTTCAACCATTCAGGCTCCATCTGGAAATTGTAGAACGCCGAAGTCATGTCGCTCTCGGACCACACCAGGACCTGCTCGTCCTCCAGCTGGATGCCGGCCCACTGCATGTAATAAGGTAGACATCTGATGTCAGCCTCGAGGACCTTCTGGTAGCTGTTCGTCGGGATGGCGTTGAGGATGAGGCGCAGGATCGCCTTGTCCGTGCCCGGCAGCTTCTTGTTGCGCTTGGGGACGCCGAACAAGCCGTTCAACACTGGAACTCCCTTCACCTTGAAGACGTCCCGCGCGGAGATGAAAGAGAAGATTCCCCTCCGAGCTGCGCCCTGGCAAATTCGATGCCATTCGGCCTCGCTGTCGACCCATACCTTGGCAGTGGGAACTGCTGGAGGCCACTCCCCCTCGGGCAACAGGCAGAGCTGAGGGTTTTCAAGATAATGTTTCAACACGCCCTGGACAAGCCCAGTGGCGCGCACCCTCGCTGACTGGCCTACTGGGGGTAGCGCCGGCTCGATCTGCTCCCATGTGACTTTTTCTGGGACCTTCATCTCCTCTCCCTGATAATCCAGCCGAGCATGACGTAAGGTTTCCGCCCAGTCGACTATGGGGATGTCGTGGCCCTTGACGAAGTCGCTCACGTACAACCTCAACTGGTCCAGCGCTGCCTGCTGAGCTGCTGACCCAGCACCCGCCGAGCCTCGCAGCTCGTCTTCCGTACCGTTGCATGAGCTCGTGCCCAAGTCCCCGGGGTGGGAATTGTAGTCCACGCAGCTCCTCCTCCGACCACCTCCTCGATTAAGCTGGTTCAAGGACCACTTAATGAGATACATCCGTGCCTCGAGCCCTGCCTGCTCCACCATCTCTGTCGTCACGGCTTCCCCCCGGTTTGCTGCCAGTGCTGGCGCCTTTTCCGCGTCGGTGGGTAACGGCGAGAGCGGAAAGGGCAGCAGGTCGCGGACCGTCGCTGCCCCCCGCTCGACGTCGCAACACCTCTCCGCCACCTCGGTGAGCACCTCTTGATGCCGATGCTCGTAAAAGCAGAGGTGGCACTTCAACGCCAAACCCACCTCGGCGGGGCAAAGGCCCTCCAGTGAGGGAAGCTGCCCATGCTCGCCAGCAACTTGGGAAGCTACGGAGCAATAGAGGGAGCAAAGGACGTCGCCATGGCATGGCTGGTCCAGGTCGCAGTGGCAGTAGAGCTTCGCCCCGCGGAGCTCGTGCAGACGATACCGGACCCAGCGCCCCGCTTCGCTCCGCAAGTACTCCGCGTATTTCTGGGTGACGTCCTCCCTCTCGTGATCTGACGCCCCTGCCAGCTTCCAGGGGTTGCCCCAACCCTGGGGTTTTCCGAACTCCCCCCGGCTGCGGCCGATGTAGATGCCCGGGCGTGGGATGGCCGACCCGCGGGCCAGGTCGTTCAAGCTGGCACGAATCGGGACGCCGGCTGGCAGGTTCACATTTTCCACCGTTTTCGACCTTTTCCTCGACCCTTCTCCTGTCCTCTCCTGGGTCCTTTGCCTTTGCCCGGCTTCTCCAGGCCCTCGTGGGTGATGGCGGAGGGGAGCTCCTCCGCGTCGCTCCCGGACTCGCCCCGCTTCCACCAGCTCGCCCCCGCCTCGCGCGATGGCTGCCGCTGCGACTGCAGGACGGCCTTGGACTTCTGCTCGTCGCGCTCGGTCTTCGACGCCATCGCCTTCAAGCTTGGCGTCACCGTCGTCACCCTTGAATCTGGAACCACCTCTAGGTGACGCGCAGTAGACCATCCTCCGTCTTCCTGGAGAGAGGCTTCGAGGGCGCGGAGCCTCTGGACAAGCAAGTCGCCCGCCTGGACAATCCGGCCGGAGAGCAGCTCGTCGAGGATGGCCGCCAATGTCCGCAGCTCCCGCTCGCAGCGGAAAGGGACCTTGATCCCAGGCTGCCCCAGGGCCTTGTTGAGGTAGTTCGTCCCCAGGGTCGTCGTGTCGATAGCTCCCTCGGTCTCGCCTTGATGATGCGACCCGCCGAGGTGGCGCTTCATCATCACAATGGTGGACTGGAGAAGTGCGCCTGGCCGATCCTTGGCCGTCCGACGCACTGCTGTGTCCTCCTGCGCCCCGAGCTCCTCCTCGTCGCTGCTGTCGGTCATCTCGTCCTCCTCGTCTTCCCGACCTCTTCGGGACTTCCTCTTCCTCCTCCGTTTCTGCCTCTCCTCGGCCTCCACGATCAGCTCGGCCGTCGCCTCGAGAGCGCGTTCGGCTAGGACGCGGCACAGCCACTTCCTGCCTTTTCTGGTGCTCCCGCGCTTGGCACGAAGCGCCGCGAGCTTCTCCTGCATCAGGTCGATGGCGCCTCCAGGGCCCCGGGGAGCATCTGCTGGCCTCGCCATGGGCTGCGCGCCTGCTGCCTGTCCCTCTCCTCCTACTCCGGGACCTCCGGCTCCAGGGTCTCCTCGGGCTCCTCTCGCCTTGGCTGCGGGGCGAGCTTGCACCCCCAGATCGTCCGCCAGGGCGGCGACCTCCTCTCCAAGGTCGTCCTCCCCAGCTCCCGCGGCCAGCCGCGGACCAGCTTCCGCTGGCTCTCTCCTGGCGCCAGGCGCGGGCGCCTTCTCCTTCGCCTTGTTCTTCTTCTTCTTCCTCGGGTTCGCCCCCTCCGGGCCGCGGCCCGGCCGATGACCAGGGCGCCCACGACCACCCCATCGCCGACGGGCGGCAGGGGCGGCAGGGCCAGGCGCGGCCGCGGGCCGCTTCCGAGGCTTCGGAGGCATGCGCGAAACAAATGCTTGACTCGAGCCGGAATTGCTACATCCCATGCTCCCTCACTCACACCATCTCGCTTCTCCCCGCTTCGCGGCTCGATGCTCACATTTCTTCCGTGGCGCTCCCTATGGGGCCACGAAGCGCTGTACTGGGTGGGTGATACGCAGGGACGAGGGCTGTGCTGGGTGGTGGCTGACGCCTTCGGGCGGTGCCACTGAGAGCTTCGGTGGAGCTCCCTATGGGGCCACGAAGCGCTGTACTGGGTGGGTGAAACGCAGGGACGAGGGCTGTGCTGGGTGGTGGCTGACGCCTTCGGGCGGTGCCACTGAGACCTTCGGTGGAGCTCCATATGGGGCCACGGAGCGCTGCACTGGGTGGGTGAAACACAAGGAGCAAGGGCTGTGCTGGGTGGTGGCGGACGCACGCGGGCGATGACACTGGGACCTTCGGTGGAGCTCCCTATGGGGCCACGAAGCGCTGTACTGGGTGGGTGAAACGCAGGGACCAAGGGCTGTGCTGGGTGGTGGCCGGCGCATGCGGGCGGTGCCACTGGGACCTTCGGTGGAGCTCCCTATGGGGCCACGAAGCGCTGCACTGGGTGGGTGAAACGCAAGGAGGTGGCCGGCGCATGCGGGCGGAGCCAGTGGGACCTTCGGCGGAGCTCCCTATGGGGCCACGAAGCGCTGTACTGGGTGGGTGAAACGCAGGGAGGAGGGGGAGGAGGGCCACGAAACGCTGTACTGGGTGGGGGGGACGCACGCGGACGGTAGACTTGGAACCTTCGGTGGAGCTCCCTATGGGGCCACGGAACGCTGCACTGGGTGGGTGGAACGCATGGAGGAGGGGGAGGAGGACCACAAAACGCTGTACTGGGTGGGGGGGACGCATGCGGACCGTAGCCCTGGAACGTTCGGTGGAGCTCCCTGTGGGGCCACGAAGCGCTGTAATGGGTGGGTGAAAAGCAAGGAGGAGGGGGAGGAGGGCCACGAAACGTTGTTGTACTGGTTGGGGGGGACGCATGCGGACGGTAGACCTGGAACCTTCGGTGGAGCCCCCTATGGGGCCACGAAGCGGAGTACTGGGTGGGTGAAACGCAGGGAGGAGGGGGAGGAGGACCACGAAACGCTGTACTGGGCGGGGGGGACGCATGCGGACCGCAGCCCTGGAACATGGGGCCACGAAGTGCTGTACTGGGCGGGTGAAACGCAGGGAGGAGGGGAGGAGGGCCACGAAACGCTGTACCGGGAGGGGGGGGGGCGCATGCTGGTGGGTGAAACGCAGGGAGGAGGGGGAGGAGGGCCACGAAACGCTGTACTGTGTGGGGGGGACGCATGCGGACGGTAGACCTGGAACCTTCGGTGGAGCTCCCTAAGGGGCCACGAAGCGCTGTAGTGGGTGGGTGAAACGCAAGGAGAAAACGGAGGAAGGAGGAGGGAGGAGGGGGCCGAGGAGGAAGAGGAGAAGGAACGCGGGGACCGTCTTTTCAAAACGAGGACCCAACACCACAGGATGGTTAGGAAAAAGACTCACGATGATGAGAAACCAGCCCCAGGGAAAGGGCCACGACTTCCGGGGACCTCGTACTGATCAGAAATTCGCATGTTAGGGTGTCTCCAACTAGTACCCCGACCACTCCCCTCCCTGGGTGCTCCCATCTAGTACTCCGACCACTCCCCTCCCACCCTGCCCCCCCCCCTTCCCCTCGTCCTCCTCCCAGGGGAGGTCGAAGGGGAGGAACGGGGGGGGAGGGGCGGAGGGCGGGGGGGGGGCACTTGGGGGTCGCGAGGGGGCGGGGGAGAATGAGGGGGAGGAGGGCGAAGGAGGGGCACAGGGAAGAGGAGGAGGAGGTGGCGGAGGAGGAGGTGGAGGAGGATGAGGAGGAGGAGGAGGCAGAGGAGGAGGAAAAGGAGGAGGAGGAGGAGGAGGAGGAGGAGGAGGGGAAGGAGGAAAATGGGGAAGGAGGAAGAAGAGGAGGTCACAGACAATGCATCCACGAAGCTTCAATTCGATTAATTTGTTCGGCTCGGGTGGGCGCGAAGGGCGCCGCCGAGGTATAAGCGCAGGTCTGCATCGAGCAATCGGCAATCGGCGCCTCTCTCGGGTGGAAGCCGGGGCCTCCTCCAGCTAACCCACATGCTGACCCAGACAGACGCTGCAAGCTGCTCGACGCGCCAGCATCACTATGAAACTGCCTTTGGGCAAACGTCCAAAATGGGCAGGAGCTCTGAGTGAGACTAGAGGGCGAGACGCGATGCTGGGGCCTGTATGTACATGGTGTTAGACATGTCACTCACGCGACTGCGCCAAGCTGAAGCTTCAGGCCACTAGCTAGTGACGGCTGCTGTCTGCGTCGGGCCTCAAGCTTTGGTCAACTTGAGGGCCTTCTTCTTGCTGATGATGGCCTTCGCTGTCTTGCGAGCCTCCTCCAAGGTGGTCGTTTCGGTGCGCTTCTTGGACTCCGCGAGGGTCTGGACTGCGGCGCTTAGGCCCGACGACGAGGATGACGCACCACCGCGATTATTCTTCCAACCCTAGTACATCTCCATGACCTTGGCGCTGAAGAACTCGTGCTTGTTGTTGTAGGACTCGAAGCGGCACGGGCCCCGTCTCGGACGGCTGAAAGTACTTCGAAAGCTTTGCGCCCGAAAAAGGTGGGCACACCAAGGCCACAAACCAATCGCTGTAGTTGCAGCTGATGCGGTGAACTCCTTTGACGATGTGCGTTCCCTCAGGCAGGTCCACGGTGTCGCCGCTGATGTGATTGACCTGCTTGGCCACGGCCCCCCCCTCCTCGTGCACGAAGCTGTAGCGCCCCTTCTCCCACGAAGGCTTGCCGTCCTGAAGGACCCACGACTTGTTCATGCCATTCCAGCGCTTGCCGACCTCAACATGGCGAGACAACGAAGCCTCTCGGGCCACTTCGGTCACGCCGAACTCGCTGGGAATGCTCGCGTTTTCCATCATCTGCACGCCGAAGTGTAACACGTCCGATATGATAGTGGGGTCCTTCTCCCTCGCTGTCGCCAGCTGCGCCATGGTTATCTTCGAGTTCCCGGCGATGATCTCGAGCTTGAAGTCCTCTGCGATCTAGCCGACGTTCGGAGGTGGACCGCTGGGGAATCTCTCTTGAGCGGTCGCGGCCGTCAAGCAATCGTCCACCTTCGCATCCCCCTTGTACTTCTGCAGATCCATCAACAACGAAGGCGCGCACGTGTCCTCCTCCAGGAGCATTGTCACGGTAGACTTGAGGGCGCGGTGGCGCTGGTTCACGTCCTGCATTTCTTGCTTGTTGGCCGTCGGCATGGGACCTGGGATTAGGTCGGGCAGGTCTCTCCCCGCGGCATCGACGCCGTTTCCAATAGACGGAGGGGCGCCAACCTCCGATAGGGCGCGGGGCGAAGACCTCTGCAGCACGCCACTGCCGGACGGCATCGCGATGCAGAGCGCGCGAGGGGGCGCAGTCCCAGGAGTTGGATGGTGCTTCGAAGAACCGACACTAACTGTGAGCCAAGTTGGCTACGGACGAGACCCGCGCGCAACAGCGCGACGGCGCGGCCCTGACGGGAGCCCCGCGGGAGCCCCACGGCAAACCTCACAATAATTTTCACGGGAACCCTCTCGGGGGCCTTCACTCATGGTGTTGCTGTTGCTGCTGCTGCTGCTGTTCTTCCCCCTCCTCCTCCTCCTTCTCCTCCTCTTTCTCCTTCTCCTCCCCCTCCTCCTCATCATCTTCCTCCTCTTCCTCCTCCGCCTCCTCCTCCGCCCCCCCCCCTTTTCCACCCCTTGCCCCGCGGGGTCTCCGCGGGGGCCCCGCAGGGCAAGGGGAAGGGCAGACAGCGGCAGCAACGGCGGGAGGGGGGGGGGGGGGGGCACGGCAAGCCTCAACAAGCCCAGCGGGAGGCCCCACGGGAACCCCACGGGAGCCCACGGCAACCCCACTGGAGTACCACGGGGAGGCCCACTGGATATGACATCCTACCCTTCCTCCGATCCCTTCATTTGGCATGACTAAGAATCCTAGGGCTGCGTTTTGATACTGGAATGTACTTACATTCCTGCGTGGCGCAATGCATATGCAAGCAACGCAAGCAAAGCATGTTGGCACCAGATAATCACAACCTCTACTGTTTCATGGTGGGGGGGGGGCCCAGAGAAATGCAGGGGCGGCGGTTGCAATCACGGTCGCGCCCTCGAAATTCCACCATGAGGCAGCGCGCGGGCCGGCGAACCAACGCGGGCACCACGAGGGCCAGCGGGAGAAGACCGCGTCGACGAGGGCGTGGGCGACAAGCACGGGCGCCCAGGGAAGGCGATGACCGTCGACTCGGTCACGTGCTGGAGGACGGCGAAATAGGCCATCTGCTGAGGTTGAGCGCAGGCGCTGCCACTGCTGCACAAGTGGCCCGCTGCGCGCCAGGCAATCACAAGACCCGCGCAGCGGGTAGCAGGGGCGCGGCAGCGCGCCGCCAGGTCGAGCGTCTCCACGATGGCGGGCGATGGGCGGACTCCAAGCGGCAAGCCGGCGGCCAGGTCAGCAGGAGGGCGGCGATCGATCCCGGCCCGCGCAGCCTCCTGGGGCGCGAGCTGGCGTTCGTGGAAAACCCCGCGCGCATCGCTGACCGCTGCAAGA